AGGAACTGCAGATGCTGGAAAATCTGAGATAACAAGGTGTAGAGCTGGATGAACACAGCAGGCCAAGCAGCATCATAGGAGCAGGAAGGCTGATGTTTTGGGCTTAGACCCTTCTGGTCAGAACCTCGTCTAGGCCTTCTGGTCTAGGCCCGAAACGTCAGCCTTCCTGCTCCTATGATGCTGCTTGGCCTGCTGTGTTCATCCAGCTCTACACCTTGTTATCTCTGGGCTAGAAAGTGTGGCTCCCGATCCCACCCCCTCCAAAGAGATACTGTAGCATACCATTTTTTTTTACAGCATGCAAGAAGTCCTTTGTACCCATCATAACTATGCAGATCATTAAACATCTACCTATTTGAATTCCATTTCCCTGCACTTAACCACAGCCTTGTATACTATGGCATTTCGAGTGCTCAACTAAATACTTCTTTAATGTCTTGAGGGTTCCTGCCTCTACCACTTTTTTAGACAGAGTTCTTTGTTTACTTCAAATCCCCTCTAATCTCATTGCTCATAACAGTAAAACTGTGTCCCCTAGTTATTTACCTTTGACCAAGGGGCAAGGTTTCTCCCGAAATACCCTGTCAATGCCCCTCAGAACTTTGTGCACCTCAATCAGCTTCCCCCGTCCCCTTGGCCTTCTTTCCCTAAGAAAAATGACCAAGCCTGTCCAGTCTCTCCAATACAATTACATCCTTCCTATAGTGTGGCGACCAGAACTGCGCACAGTATTCCAGTTGGGGCCTAACATTATGTACATTTTCATCATAACCGCCTTGATCTTGTGTTCAATGGCTTGACTAAGAAAGGCAAGTATCCCATATGCCTTCTTAAACACCTTATCCGTTTGCCCTGCTGCCTTCAAGGATCTATGGACATGCACCTCTACTCCTCTCAATGTTTTAGGGATCTACCAATCAATATGTCCTGATGAAAAGTGTAAACCAGAAACATTACCTTTCCTGCTCCTCTGATGCTGCCTGACCTGCTGTGTTCCTCCAGCTCCACACTGTATTGACTCTGACTCCAGCATCTGCAGTTCTTGCTGTCTCCTAATATATACACCCTTGCCTCATCAGTCCTTCCAAAATGCTCTTCATGATTACATTCAGTTTTTCACTGTTCAGCCCTGTTGTCTTTCCTCTTCATTATTTACCACATCACCAATTTTCATATCTGTAAATTTACAGAACAAACATCACACATTCATTTAGCTGTCACTTGATATCCGGGCTTTTTACGAGTTGGATTGTAACCTCTTTTCACTCAACGAGTGTAAACGACATGGATGCTAAACTTGGAAAAGTGACCTATCAGAAGTAAACTTAGGTAGCAAAGAGAGAAAGAATCAAAGTGGCACCTGTTCACATTTAATATCCCGCAGTATGATTAGCCCTAATCCTGTCACTTCTTCATTTCATTAAAGTTTCTATTGTACACTGATAAAGAAAAGCTCATTTTAAAAATTGTGAAGTGCACAAGTTCAGGTGAGAAAGCATTTTTGTCACCAAATCATTTTAAACATTTGCAAAGAGTGTGACCACTTAAAGAGGCAGATAGTGGCTCAGATCATGCTAAATGTGGATATAATTACTTAAGAAGAAAATAACTATGATTACTTGAGTAGCACTTCAGATGATTGCTAAAACTATCGTAGTCTATCCCGAATCTTAACCTTTGGCCGTTTTGGATTGTTACACGAGTATTTCATTGTATAAGAATAAGACTAATGAGCAAAACTCCCAGCGCATTCGTCCTCGCCTTTAGGCAAGACAAAAGCACCTTGAGACTGAAGCTGGTGAACACAATGCATCAACACAAACAAGGAAGTAGGAAAGAAGGGGAAAAAAAATCACATTCGAACGATTTTCAGGAACTAACTTCTTGCCATAACTTCCCATCAAACTGATAAGCTTTTGTTCAGTAAATTATTCAAAAGTTAAAAATTACTAGAATTCCCAGACGCTGTTGCATTCCCTTCCATCTGATAACACTTTTCTCTCTCCTTACTATGTGTTTTGCCAAATGTTGCAGGTACATTATTTTCTTAAAACGTGATAGCATGAGAGAGATTTCAACATCCCGAATGCTGTGGTTATCAATTCAGACACGGGTTGAGCCTGGAATCTCTTTGAGTTCTACCATAAATCAGCCTGTATCTATCTACCTATCCAATAGAGTTAGTCCGATTGCCTTATTGTCTAATTGAGATATTGAATTTAAATCAAATTATTTGTCAAATTAGTCAATGTTTTGTTTCGTTCAGTATGTTGCATCAGACCACGATGTTCGAAGACCTCAGGATCCCGCATCAATTTTCTAAATAAAGATTAATTGTGTTACGCAATGCCACAAACTCTGTTGCTTAGTCATTGACTGTGTCCCTTATAGTGACAGCCCAGGCTGAAGTACAGTTTCATATTTGACCCCAAGGTGAACTTTCTATCATACACTCTTGTCATCAATCAGACTGCCTACTTCTACCTTCTGCTCAGCTGCAGCTCAAACCCTCAGCCAAGACTATGATACCTCTGTTTCAGAGACAGCCGGAACTGCAGATGCTGGAGAATCTGAGATAACAAGGTGTAGAGCTGGATGAACACAGCAGGCCAAGCAGCATCAGAGGAGCAGGAAAGCTGATGTTTCGGGCCTAGACCCTTCTTCAGAAAAT